TCAGAGAAGTTTATCCTCCTGTGATCACATAGTTAGTAAGCAGCACAAGCGACATTTTAAAAAACTTAGTATTTATTTGTTTATTCATTAACTCTTGTATGTGTCTTTGTGTCTTTGTGTGTGTGTGTGTGCGCGCGCAGAGTCCAGAAGAAGGTGTCAGTGTCCTCCTCTATCTGTCTCCACTTATTACTTTAAAGCGGTTTCTTTCCCTGAACCTAGGACTCACATTTTTGTGGCTAGGCTGGAAGCCAGCAACCTCCAGTGATCCTCCTGTCTCTGCTCCCCTTAGAGTTAGGGTTAGCCCCGACACACACACACACACACACACACACACACACACACACACACACACACAAACACAGGGTTTCTCCGTGTAGTTTTGGTGCCTTTCCTGGAACTCACTCTGTAGACCAGGCTGGCCTTGAACTCACAGAGATCTGCCTGCCTCTGCCTCCCAAATGCTGGAATTAAAGGCATGAGCCACCACCGCCCAGCATCACAACTGACATTTAAATCCAGGTTTTTGAGTCAGATATGATGGATGGCACATGCCTGTAACCCTGTCACTTGGAAGGTAGGCACAGGAAGATCAAGAGTTCAAAGTTATTCTCAGCTACATATAGAGTTGAGGCTAGCCTGGGCCACATGAGACTCTATTTCAAAAGAACCAAAACAAGCAGATGAGGTGGTTCATGCCTATAATCCCAGCTCCTGTGAGGCTGGTACAGGAGGATGACTGCAAACTTGAGGCCAACCTGGGCTACATAGTAAATTACAGGCCTTGATAATAGAGTAAAGCCCTGTCTCAAATAAATGAATGGATGGATGGATGGATGGATGGATGGATGGATGGATGGATGGATGGATGGATGAATAACACGTAATGCACACAAACAAAGGCTTTCTGTACTCTGACATAAACTCAAGTCTGGAGCTGGTGACACATTTGCCTAGCATGTTTATGACTCTGGGTTTGATCCCCACAAATAAAGAAGTCATTTATTTTTCCCCTGATTTACATCCATGCAGCATGACTCCGGTTATGTATATTAGAGAAGAGGGACAGAACTCACAAGAGTGAATCATAGCCCCTCACACTCATCAATCTTTGCCCTCTCGGGGGTTTATTCTGACCCAGGGTTCCTGGGCAGCCCCTCCTCAGAAGGGTCGACTGCTGTATGCCCCCCTGTTGTTGGTGGAGGAAGGCACAGTGGGCGAAGGATACCTCAACAAACTCAGCGGGCCACTGCGTACCTTCACCTGCCTGCAAGTGCCTGGAGCTCATTCAGATCCCAGTCGCCGCAAGAGGGGCAGTGCCGACAGTTTGGTGGAGGCTGTGAGTCCTGATGGGGGGCGGGGGGGGGGGGGGAGGCGGAAGGGGTTAGTGCTGGAGTAGAAGGGGCAGAGGTGGGAGCAGGGAACAGGCACCAAGGAGTGGCCAGACGCTCTGTTGAGCTTGTATACTGTACTTGACTCTGCCCCCCTGCATTCTGCCATCAGCACATCATTTATTCGCAGTGACTACTCTGCACATTGTGCTGTTGATCACCATTATTCCCACCTGAACCCCCTCCCCAGGTGCTCATCTCTGAAGGCCTGGGTCTCTTTGCCCAAGACCCACGATTTGTGGCCCTGGCCAAGCAGGAGATTGCGGATGCCTGCCACCTGACCCTGGATGAGATGGACAGCGCTGCCAGTGACCTGCTAGCACAGAGAACCACCTCCCTTTATAGCGACGAGGAGTCCATTCTCTCCCGCTTCGATGAAGAAGATCTGAGAGATGAGATGGCCTGCGTCCATGCCCTTTAATTTCGTACCCCCCCCCCATCCACTGCTCAATAAACCCCCTGCCCTTCCTTTGCCCAGAAGGAGGCAAGCATTGACCACACACTGCTGGATTTTAGTGTCTTTGCACTGGCAGTCTGGGGCAGCCCAGCAGTTTCCATCCATCCCTTATTGCATCCCTGAGCCACTGCCCACACATGAGTATTTCCAGAAACCAGGACAGCTAGGCCTGATTATTCAGCGTCAGGGAAGGAGGGAGGAGGAGGAGGAGAAAGAGACAGCAGCCAAAAAAAGCTGGAGACAGAGTGGAGGTGGGGGAGAAGGAGAGCACTGGGCAGATAGGGGGAAGGGAGCAGAGGAGATACTGGGTGTCCGGATAACAGGGAAAGGCAGCGACGTCACAAGGGGTCAGTCAGGTCAGCCCAGAGAAGGATGGACTGTAGAAGAGTTTGGACAGGGCAAAGGCCTGGAGGTTAGAGTTGGTAGCTTAAGCAGAAATGTCCTCTCACAGCATCAAGAAGAAAAGTCTAAATCCATTGGTAGAAATTTTAGGGGACAGCAAACAGTGGTGCTTCCGGCTCCAGGGAACCCATTCCGAGCCCCCCCCCCCCCGTGATCTCCCGGAAACACCTGAGAGTGACTCTCTTCCCACACAGATGCCTGAGCTCCTCTTTCTGCTTCTCGCTCTGCCTTGGGGACCTCATTCATTCAGGGAAAGCTTATCAGGCACTTGGCGTGGGCCAGGTACCTTGCTGGTTTCCCTCGGTTTGGCAAACTAAGGTGGCTTAGACACATGACACGTTTATCTAAAGTGGGAGTCAGCGCCACTGCAAAGGAATTGACCACCGTTTAATCATCCTTCCTCACTCCTGAAGCAAGGGGTTCTTAGCTGTATCTTTTGTGTCAACCAAGCCAGGGAATTTGGGGGGAGCCACAATCGAAAACCGGGACTTCTGAGCACACGATTAATTACACTGGGCCTTGAAACAAAGGTTTGAAGAAGTTGGGCTGGTGTGTGATGAAAGCGCAAGTTAGGGGAAAGCGTGGAGAATGGAAACAGACTACTGAGAACTAAGGCTGGAGGCCAGATCACGCAGTCTTGAAGGCCAGGTCCTGAGATGTCTGCTCTTTCTATCTAAAAGCATGGGGAACCACAGGAAAGCTTGAGTAAGGTGGTGACATAGTTAACTACGCATTCTAAACAGATGCTCTGGTGGTGTGCTGAAAACAGACCAGAGGGGAAGAGAATGGAGATGCTAAAATTGTCAGAAATGATGGTTACCTTAGCCAGGGAAGGTAACAGGGGAGATGGTGGGAAGTCAGTGGATTCCAGAATAGTAAGGAAAATAAAATGATCCATGCCATGATCCCTGTACTAAGTACATTAGAGTTGATTGTCTTTTTTAATCAGTATGACAACCCTACATATAACATTTTAAAACATTTTACATGTCTAAGGTCAAACAGCAGTAAATATTAGAAATGAGATTCAAGCAACTGAGTGCCCAAATCCAAACAACTAGGAAGTATCTATTACATACTTGTGTTTTTTAAAATAAATATAGGGGCCAGGTACGGTGGTGCATGCCTTTAATACCAGCACTTGGGAGGCAGAGGCAGGCAGATCTCTGTGAGTTCAAGGCCAGCCTGGTCTACATAGTGAGTTCCAGCCAGGGCTACACAGAGAGACCTTGTTTCAAAAAAGTAAAATAAAATAAAGTAAATATGGGGGCTAAGGAGATAGCTCAGCAGTTAAAAATGATTACCACCAAGACCTGAAGACCTGAGTTGGATCCCCAGGACCCAAGGTAAAAAGAATTGACTCCCACAAGCTGTCTTCTGTCCTCCCCCTGTGCATCCACGCACACACACAGTAAATAATTAAATGTAAAAAAAAAATAGGTATAAAAGCCAGAGCAAGCCTAGCTGTGGTGGCTCACGCCTTTAATCCCAGCACTTGTGAGGCACAGGCAGGAGGATCTCTGAGTTCAAGGCCATCCTGGTCTACAGATCAACAGCCAGGACTGTTACACAGAGAAACCTTGTCTGGAAAAAAACAAAACAAACAAACAAACAAAAAAGCCAGAGATAGCATGATGGTACTTACCTATAATTCCAGCATCTGGGAAGTAGAGGAAAGAGGATAAGGAATTTAAGGTCACCCTCAGCTGCACATGAAATTCAAGGCCAACCTGGGCTATATGAAATTCTAATAAATAAATAAATAAATAAATAAATAAATAAATAAATAAATGGCATCCATTCAAATGTTTCGAAACCCAAGCATACCGAGGGTTATAAAATGATGTTCTTTTTCCGCTGCTGACAGTGTTATCCATTATCTTTTATTATCCGTGTAAGATGATGCACTCATGGGTTAGCACTTAGAATCTTAGTGCTTTTTATATGCATTTCTTAATGTGGGGTTGACCATCTTAACCTCAACTATATTTTATCCCTTGGATTTTGTAACATGGCAATCATCACTGACCTTGATGGGTCTCGGTTTAGTATCATGAAAGAGGGCAGTCCATTAAGAGATGGAGGACCCACACAGTGAAAAGAGAGAGCCTACTCTGGCAAGCTGACCTTTGATCTCCACACCTGCATTATAGTGTCCCCCCCTTCCTTCCCTCCCTACATCCCTCTCTCCGTACTAAGTAAATGTAGTTATAAAAAGAAAGAGGGTTAACACACAATAAATAAATGTATTAAAAGAGAAGGCCAAGGGAAAAACAGAAGGTGAAGTACAGAGTTAAAGTAGGCAATAATTTACCAAGAAGAAGAGCGAAATTGAGGTGGTTAGAGTTTGGGGATGTGCTTAAAAAGGCAGATTTCGCAAAAGGAATCCTCTAGACCTTGAACTGTCTTTTAAACTGTGGAGACGTTTAAACTGCAAAGGCTCTGAACACTGCCGATTACTAACTGTGTGACCTTGTGCAAGTCACTTAATCTCTCTGGAGACTCATTTTCCTCATCTGTAAAAACAGAACTAACAGTCACTGCTACACAGGGATTAAATGAGTGAACACACGTAACAAACACAGCGCTCGGCTTGGCCAAATATCGTAGAACTGAGCGGTCCTCCTGCCCCTAGACCGCTACCAGTGTTTTCTGAAAGATTTACCGACTCCAGCCTCCAGGATGGAATGGCCGCAGGCAAGCTGGGGGAAGGGAGTGCCGTGGTGCGCAGGCGCTTGCGCGAAAGAGAGACAGGGTGTGAGGGGCGGGGCTGCCGCCGACTGGGCTGTTCCGACGAGCGCGCGCCGCCCCCGCCGCGCCCCGCGCCCGCCCTTGCTAGCAGGCACCTTCCGCCCCCTGCATTGCTGATGCTGCTGCTGGCAGACATGGACGTGGTGAATCAGGTACGCGCTCCAGCACCGTGGACAGAGCCCGGCGCTTGCTGGAACCCCGATAGCTTTGGCCCTCCAACCCGGAGAGGTGGTGGCCAGGGTAGCCGAGATAGGGTCACCGGGGCTGGGGCCTGGGGGGGTCTGCAGCAGGCTAGGGGAGGGAGGAAGGTGGAGAAAAAGGAGTGCGCTCTTTGCCGCATCGAGGACTGTCCTCACTGCCGCAGAGGGGGCCTCCAGAGCCCCATAAGAATTGTCGGCGGGGGGAGAGAGGGGATCTCGGGGGGTAGGAAGAGGGCAAAGGGGTAGGGGAGGGGAGAGTGAAAAGAAGACTTGGGGGGGGCTGCAGATGAGCTAGGAAATAGAGCGACAGAAGGTGTGGGGGCGGGGTGGGGGAGGGCTGGCACCCGCCCCTCCCAGAGATTTCACCCCGGTAGATGACCACCTTTTCCCCACTTCCCGGGGCAGATCTAGGGAGACGATCCGATTTTCCCTCTCCAAAGCCCCCAGCCTCCTCATTCCCAGCTCATATCCAGTGAATCCATGCCCCAGCTCTCTCCCACCTTAATCATTCCAGACCATCTCCGCCATCTCCCTCTTCTTCGTCACCTCAGAATCGGCTTCCTCCCTAAGCAGTAGCGACCCCTCCCCACCCGCATCTGCTCAGACACAACCACCATCATCGGATTCACCTTTACCGCTGCCGACCTCTCCTCTATGCTGTTGGGACTCACCTTCAGCATTCAGTGCCCCCTCCCCCACTTAGCGAACCCCGTCTTCTTCTACTCAACCTTTTTCCCTATCTGAGTCACCTTTAAGCAGTTCAGACCTTCCTTTCCTAACTAGTCTGGACCCCCATCTATTTTCTACACCCAAGCTCCTCTGCCATGTGACTCATCACCTCACACTTCACCACTCCTGAATCCTGGGGGGTTTCTCTGAGACCCTGGTGTTTACTCTTTCCCCAAAGCATCGTTTTCTGCTCCTCACTCCCTCTCTATATGTCACCCACTCTCAGGGGTCACATGCCATATCCCCAGGGATCGTTGCCTGGCAGCCTGGCCCCCTCGCCTCCATCTCTATTCCCCATAACCCTTCCCCTTGCCCACTTTTTTCTCCTCAGCTGGTGGCTGGGGGTCAGTTCCGGGTGGTCAAGGAGCCCCTTGGCTTCGTGAAGGTGCTGCAGTGGGTGAGTGTGGTCTGGGTTGTGGGGTGAGGGAAGTGCAAGGAGACAGGGTGGTGATGGGGTCCAGAAGATTAGGGGTGTAGAAGAGTCAGGGAGCCAGAAAAGAACTGGAGTGAAGGAGATGAGGGAATTGGGTTCCAGAGTAAGGTCCCAGGGGTTTAGGGACAGGGGACAGATCAGCTATGACGTCACATAATGCCGAGGGTACCCCTGTTGTGGAGTGACAGATTATGACGTCCTATCTCCTCTCTTGAACTAAAGGAGGGAGGGATGGGAGGTGGAGCCTGAGGCCGCCTGCTGAGAAAGAGAAAGATGCAAAACCAGAAAAATCCAGAGACAGTGAAGGAGACAGAGAGTGAGAGGCAGGGATGGATGGTACAGACAGTGATGGAGATGCTGAGAAAAAAACGAGATGAGAGCCAGAGAACTGGGTATGAAGCAGGAAAACGTGGTGGAGAGAGAGAGAGAGAGAGAGAGAGAGAGAGAGAGAGAGAGAGAGAGAGAGAGAGAGAGAGAGAGAGAGGCAAAAGACAGAGATACGACGAGTGACAGAAGAGGAGAAAATGGAGGGGAGAGGAGAAAAAGAAGGGGGGCTGAGAGAGAGGGAGGGGGGGGAGAAAGGGAAGGGGAGGAGAAGCCAGAGCACCTAGAGGTAAAAACAGAGACACAGGGAGAGAGAAACAGCCACACCCCTGTAATCAGCTTGTGCTAGGACCCGGTGAGCCCTGATTAGGGGGGTGGGGGTGGGGACCTCTCCATCTGCTGCTGTCTCTGCTGCCCCCCTCAATCTGTCCAGAGGAGGGCACTCCCTCCCGCATGCATCCAGGCTCACTGCAGCCATCCACTTCCCTGCTCCCCAAGGTCTTCGCCATCTTCGCCTTTGCCACATGTGGCAGCTACAGCGGAGAGCTTCGGCTGAGCGTGGAGTGTGCCAACAAGACGCAGAGTGCCCTCAACATCGAAGTTGAATTTGAGTACCCCTTCAGGTGTGCTCCCGCCCTGGTATCCTGAGACGTGGGAGAGGCAGGGGCAGGGTGAGGGTGGGTCTGGGCAATCCTTCCCCGTGACCTTCACACAGCTCACACCTTTGAGGCCACAGCCACTGGGATCCCTGGCCATGCACTGAACACCTGCTGCGTAACTGGCACTGATCTAGATCTCTGTGGCGATGCGGTGCGCAAGAGAAGACACAGGGTGTCACCCTCTCTAGCTATATTCTGGCCAAAGGAAGGAATTGAAGACAGGAAATAAATGAGATTCATAAGCAAATGACGGAGATGGGGCTGTAGTGCAGTGGTAGACAGCAGGCCCTGGGCTACAGAGAGACAGAGACAGAGACACAGAGAGCTACATGGCTGTACACACACATACGGACACGTTCATGCAGCCAAGGTTCAATTAATGTTAGTTGCTGGGTATGGTGGCAAATGCCTGTAATCCCAGCACTTGGGAAGCTATGCAAGAAAGACTGTGGTAAGTTCCAGGCCACCCTCAGATACAAAGTCAGATCGTGTCTCAAAATAAGGGGTATGCAATGGCTCAGCAGATAAAGGCACTTGTCACTAAGCCTGACAACTTGAGTTTGATCTCCAAGTCACATGAGGTAGAAAGAAAGACCAGACTCGCTGCAAATTGTTCTCTGACCTCCACACATGAGCTGCACGCACACACACACACACACACACACACACACACACACACACACACACACGCATCTGCCTACATACACAAAGGCATGCATACACTAAAGGCAATTTTAAAAAGACGTATTTTAAAATAATGTTAGTTAACGTTATTTACGTCTCAAAGTGCTGGGGTTTAACAGTGACTGAAGCAGACCAAGTTCCTGGTCCTTGTGACTCTCCATTAGAATAAACAAAAGAAGATAACTGCACATGCAGAGAACTACTAGAAGCATATCCTCATGTGGGGGCTTTGCTAGACAAGAATGGGGATGCTAATGGGTCATGGGACCAAATTAGAAGTTCCTGATATTTACCGAGTCCCAAACATGTAACAGGCGCTGTACTGGGTGCTAGGTGTACATGAGAAAGGACAAGCTGAATGAACTGCTGCATCTTAAGGATGGGGAGACAGACGCCCAGTTTCACTTGACTTTCCTTGACTACTGAATTAAATCATATAACAGTTTGAGGGTCAACGTCCTCATTTGTAAACAGAGATAATATTGGTGCTCCACAAGGTGATGGGGCATCTTTCTCTAAGTCGATACTTGTAAAGCACTCAGTGCAGTGTCTGGGACCAAGAAGTGCTCAGCATATGCTTATAAAGTATAAGAAATCAGATTTAGGAACTTGGGGAAGAGTTGGAAGCTGGGAGCTGGAGAGCACTAAGGGCAAATGGAGGCCCAAGAGATCACACAGTTGGGAGAGGGAAGACAGCTCAGGCCCTGAGCAGGGATAGAAACAGAAGATGGTAGGGGAGCATGGCCTGAGAGAGCGCAGCCAGGGGTATCCAGCTTCACATAAGCCAGGGAGAAAAGAGCTGGGGGGGGGGGCTAAGGGTGTAGCTCAGTGGCAAAGCACTCTGTCTAGCATGCCCTGGTCCATCCCCAGTACCTCGGAGGAGGAGACACACAGAGAGAGACACACACATGATGTTGGGGGTGAAGGGTAGTTAGCAGCATAAGAGCCAGCCTTTGGGGAATTCCCTAAAGGCCGCAGAAGCCTTCCATGACCCCCCTCCAGCCCCAGCACCTTCCATGCTCGGGACCCCTGCTATACAAGGACACCAGTTCTATTTCCTCAGGCTCAGGATCTGATCTCCAAGCTGAGACCGGAGCTGCAGGCCCCTAGTCCAGTTCTATGAGGCTGTCCCCCATGAGGCTGTCCCCCACCACAGCACAGGCAAGGCCTTTGTCTCAGAACACCTTCCCAGGCTGCCCTTCGCACGTCCTGTCCCAAGGTCCCTTGGACCCTTCTGTCTTTGCCTATTTCATAGCTGGTTGGCTGCTCTGCCACACATACTTTCTTTTTTAAATCTCAGGGACCTAAAAAGAATTTCTAAACAGAGAAAGGAGTCAACATGATTTAGGAGGAGACAGAAGTCATACAGGGGCTCTGTCCTTCCTCCACTAGCCGCATGACTTTATACAAGCAAATTCACCCCCTAAGCCTGTTCCCATCTCTGGGTGTTTCACCCTAAAAACACTGCTTGAGGACCTAATAGGTGCCAGCACTGTTCCAGACCCTTGGGATCTGTCAGTGCATGAAAAAGAGGAGCAAGCCTGCTCCCTCATAGTTACAGGGGGGAAATCAAGGTGAAAAAGCAAAGCCTAGCCCTGGGGAGACAGCTCCATCAGGAAAGTGCTTGCCTTACAGGCTTGAGGACTTGAACTTGAGTCCCAGAGCCCACATTAAACAAAGCCCAGCACGGTGGTTCATGCTGGAATCCCTGGCACTCCGTGGCCAGCCAGCTTAGGGTAACTGGCAAGTTCCAAGCCACAGAGAGAGCCTGTTTCAAAAAGAGGGGGGATGGCACCTGAGGAACAACCCATGAGGTTCAAATTTGGCCATCACAAGTCTGTGCAACTGCATACACACCAACAAATGTGCACCTGCACATACATGCACGTGTACACACACACACACACACACTCCTATGTTCAATCAACAGCACCAAAAAAAAATGAAGTTTTTAAGGTGAGGTGCAGGAAGTCTTTAATGAGAAGGTGATTCTTAAGCCAAGTTTGAAGGAGCTGGAAGAATAAGACATCTTAAGGAAGAGCATTCCTACATTTGATCTTAGCCAAACAATCTGAGAAACAGAAAGGTGAGAGCATTCCTGCTGAAGAGAACAGCCAGCGCAAAGATCCTAGAGCAGAAAGGTATGATATGACACCTGGCACGTTCTGGGATGAACTGAGAAGCAAAAGTCCCTGGGTCGCAGTGAGGGGAGGATACCACGTATCTCACCAGGCTGCTTTCAGCATCCAGTGGGATATTGCAAGTGCTCAGTGCACGGTTCTTTCCTCCCCTTCCTGGGACCTCAAAACAGTCTGGGAGAGCCGTGGCTGGGAAGGTGAGAAAGGGATTCTTAAGAGTGTGGGCCACACCTGCACACCTCTCTCCACAGGCTGCACCAAGTGTACTTTGATGCACCCACCTGCCAAGGGGGCAACACCAAGGTCTTCCTAATTGGGGACTACTCGTCATCCGCTGAATTCTTCGTCACTGTGGCTGTGTTTGCCTTCCTCTACTCCATGGGGGCCCTGGCCACCTACATCTTCCTGCAGAACAAGTATCGCGAGAACAACAAAGGCCCCATGATGGTGAGTCCCCACCGCTGATTGCATGCTTTGGCCAGGGACATGAGGCTGCAGGGACGAAGCTCATTTGGCTCACGGGCCAAACCAACTTCAAGACAGGCCCAGACCCAAGCAACCCGACACTGCTGGGTCTGCCGCCGCTGCCTCCTTAACTCTACACTGGGCAGCTGGCTTGTGAAGTCACAGAGTCACAGGGACATACTCGCAGCCCACACAGAATGCCAGACCAGCCCACAACCTGACCCTGTTATCTCGCACACAACCACACAGACTAGATCAAAGGAAGGAGTACTGAGATTCACCGTGACAGTCGAGCATGTCACCCTGCCACACAGACACTGATTCCTACACAGAGATATTCTCACACCCTCATCCCAGACATAAAATAAAAATAAAAGTGGTAAGACACACTTTCTCACCGATTCAGAAGCATCCCACAGAGTTAGTTCCTCCCTCAACATCCGCACCCACATGTCACCAGGCACACTCCCACATCCTCTGTATCATACACACTCACGGGAGTGCAAGCTGAGAGGGCTATCTCCAAGTGAATATACTGAGAGCTTCAGCGCTGCAAAGGCCGAAGAGAGGCAGGCCCCTTCTAGAGGACCCCTCCCACAAACGCTTGTGAGCTGGAAGGGGCGGGGGGCTCCACATGAAGCAGTCCATTCGTAGTGACATCTTCCTCATCCCCTGCCTAGGACTTCCTGGCCACGGCAGTGTTCGCCTTCATGTGGCTCGTTAGCTCATCTGCTTGGGCCAAAGGCCTGTCCGATGTGAAGATGGCCACCGACCCAGAGAACGTTATCAAAGAGATGGCTATGTGCCATCAGAAAGGGAACACATGCAAGGAAGTGAGGGACCCTGTGACTTCGGGACTCAACACCTCAGTGGTAAGCCCTGGGAAGCTGGCTGGGCTGGAAGAGAAAAGCTAAGAGACATAGTCTGGCGGGAGAGGTGGGAGAGATGGAGAATGAGAGGAGAGTAAGTATCCATGGGGTTCCCAGGAGGAGGCATGCCAACAAAAGAAGGCTGAACAATTATAACCACTAGGATACCACACAGTGTCTGTCCCCAATAGCGGGGAGCGTGCGGCCTTTCAGATTAGGCTGGGACCCAGCCCAATCTCCTGAAACTCAGTATCCTCCTAGGGCCTGTTTCCTTAAGCACAAAAGAAAAGACTATCTAGAAATGTTTCCCTACTTGGACGCCCCCTACTGGCTAGAATCAGTCTGAACATAGATCCTGCCACTTGCAAGCACTGTGACCTATAACTAGGGACAAGCCTCTCAGGGATCATTTTGAGCGTGTAATTCAAGACTAATGATAGGTCCGGCTCCAAAGTTGAGTACTCACTGAATTCACAACACACAAAGTGCTTAGGAAAGAACCTAGCACAAGATCACATTCTGTATCACTGTTGTAGGTGCTAAGATTTGAACTCTTCTTTCCCGCCACTTACTGACTGGGTTATCTTGGGTAATTCAGCCTCTCTGGACTTGACTTTAAAATGGACATATCAGGGCTGGAGAAACAGCTTACGGGTTAAGAGCACGGGCTGCTCTTCCCAGAGGACCCACACTCAATTCCCAGCACCCACATGGCAGCTCACATCTCTCTGTGACTGCAGTTCCAGGGGACCTGACACCCTCACACAAACATGCATGCATCCAAAACACCAATGCACATAAAATAGAAATAATTAATTAAAATAAATAAGTAAAATAAAATGGACATATCAAGAGATGGATCAGTGGTTAAGAGCACTTGGTACTCAGTTGGGCAGTGGTGGCGCACGTCTTTAATCCCAGCACTCAGAAGGCAGAAGCAGGCAGATCTCTGAGTTCGAAGCCAGCCCAGACTACAGAGTGAGTTTGAGGGCAGCCAGGGCCACACAGGGAAACTTTGTCTCAGGGGAGAGGGGTGGGAGGGAGTGGAAATCACTTGCTACTCCTGCAAAGGACCCATATTCAGTTCCTAGCACCCACTCATTGACTCTGAACCCTCCATAATTCTAATTCCAAGGAACTTGTGACCTCTTCTGATCGTCTCAAGGACCAGGCATGCAGGTGCCACACATACACACGTGTGGGCAAAATGCTTACATACCTAAATGAAATATAAAAACTTTTTAAAAGGTAAAATAAAATGGAGATATCAGCCCAAGTGTGGTGGCACGTGCCTGTAATTCTAGCACTTGAGAGGCTGGGGCAGGAGGATTGCTAAGAGTTTGAGACTCTGGGCTCTATAGTGAGTTCCAGGACAGCCTAGGCTACAGAGTGAGATCTTGTCTCAAAAAAGAAAAATAAACTGAAAACACTACAAATAAATAAACTGGGGCTGTCAACTGGGTGTGGTGGTGCATGTCTGTAGTCTCGGCTACTAGGCAAGCAGAGGCACCAGATCGATCACTTGAGCCCAGGAGTTCTGGGTCAGCCTGGGCAACATTTCAAGACACACACACACACACACACACACACACACACACACACACACACCACAAAAGAATAAAATGAAATGTAGGTTTTACTTCCTGTTCAAACATAGAACTTGAAGTGAACTAATAACACATAAGGTACTCAGGAGAGGGAGTACCTTATGTGTTATTAGTAAATAGCATATAGCATTTTGTTTTTTAAATAGTTTATATATTTTTTTTAATTTTTAAATTGTTTTTCTTTAAGAGCATATACTTAGCTAGGCATGGTAGCATATACCTTTAATCCTAGCATTTGGGAGCAGAGGCAAGTGGATCTCTGTGAGTTCGAGGCCAGCCTGGGCTACATAATGAGTTCCAGGTCAGCCAGGGCTACACAGAGAAACCTTGTCTCAAAAAAACAAAAACATAGAAACAAACAAAAAGGATATATTTAGAGTCAGGGATGTTAATACATGCCTGTAAACCTAGCACTTAAAACACTAATTTTTAAAAAATATTTATTTGTTATGTGTATGAGTATTTACTTACACATGTGTATATGCACCACTTATATTCTTGGTGCCTATGGAAGTTAAGAAGAGGGTGTCAAGAAACAGACATAAGGGGTTGGGGATTTAGCTCAGTGGTACAGCGCTTGCCTATCAAGCACAAGGCCCTGGGTTCAGTCCTCAGCTCCGGAAAATTTAAAAAAAAATTAAATTAAGGAAAAAAAAAAAACAGACATAAGGGCTATAGAGATGGCTCAGAGGTTAAGAGCATTAACTGCTCTTCCAGAAGTCCTGGGTTCAATTACCAGTAACCACATGATGGCTCACAACCATCTGTAATGAGATCTGGCGCCCTCTTCTGGTGTGCAGACATACTTGCAGACAGAACACTATATACATAATAAATAAATAAATCTTTAAAAGAGAGAGAGAGAGAGAACCAGACATAATGGTGCACACCTTTAGTCCCAGCACTCAGAAGACAGAGGCAGAGCCAGGTGGATCTCTGTGAGTTCAAGGCCACTTGGTAAGTGAGCTCCAGGACAACAAGAGTTACATAGTGAGACCCTGTCTCAAAAAAGCTTTAAAAAGAATAGGATGCCAGATACCCTGAACCTGGAGTTACAAGTGTTTGTGAGCCACCATGAGAGTGCTGGAAATCGAACTGAGCCTAGATCCTCTTAACCCTGAGCCAATTCTCCATCCCCGGGGCTAATTTAAAGCCAGACTGGCCTACATAGTGAGCTCCAAGCCATCCTGGGATAAATGACAAACTCCTGTCTCAAAAACAAATAAAAATCAAACAGGGGCTAGACCTCCACAGGCACACCATGTCTCTGGCACTCTTGAGCGCGCGCGCACACACACACACACACACACACACACACACACTATAAATAAATGAATTTAATAAAAAAAAATAAAGCCAAGAATATCTGTTTTAAAAAGTCAAAGAAAACAGGGGGTGGACAGATGGCTCAGTGGTTAAGGAAGGGCACTTACTGCTTTTCCTGAGGATGGGCGTTCAATTCCTAGAACTCTTTCATCCCATCACTTGGAAGGCAGAGGCCAGCTTGGCCTACATGGTGAGTTCCAGGGCTGCCAGGCTACACAGTAAAACCCTGTCTCAATAACCACAAGAAGCACTTGGAAGGCAGAGGCAGGTGGATCTCTGAGTTTGAGGCCAGACTGGTCTACATAACAAGTTCCAAGACAGCCAGGGCTACATAGAGAGACCCTGTCTCAAAAAAACAAAAAAAAAAAAAATTATATATATATATATATATATATATATATATATATATATATATATATATCATGTACATTTGTTTTATACATATGCATCTGTGCTAATTTGTGTATATATATATGTGTACATATGCATCAATTAGTGATGTCCATTTCTTTAAAATGTATACTTCTATTTTATCAATTTAAATTTATTATATTTCGGCCGGGCGTTGGTGGCACACGCCTTTAATCCCAGCACTCGGGAGGCAGAGCCAGGCGGATCTCTGTGAGTTCGAGGCCAGCCTGGGCTACCAAGTGAGCTCCAGGAAAGGCGCAAAGCTACACAGAGAAACCCTGTCTCGAAAAACCAAAAAAAAAAAAAAAATTTTATTATATTTCATACATGTATAAACATGTATACTTAATAAGTGTGTACTTAAATACAATTTTTAAATTATGTTTTCTTTCTTTTGAGACAGGCCTGATCTGTCTACATGGTCCTGGTTGTTCTGGAACTCACTCTGTAGACAGAGTGGCCTCAAACTCACAGATATTCACCTGCCCTAAAAATTAGTTGTTTGAGGCTGACTTTCATGTAGCCCAGGCTGGCCTCAAACTATGGAGCTAAAGCTAGCCTTGAATGGATCGTCCTGCCTCCAGCTCCCTAGGATTACAGGTGTGGGCCACCAGGCTCAATAAATATTTGTATGCTGAATCCTAACAAACACCCCAGTCCCAGACTTTTCTGTACATCGATAGTCACAGAGATCCACGAATTTATACCCTAAAAATGCCCGTTCTTGTTGGCTCAGCCTCAAAGTCCCCGGGGCTGCCAAGGCAATGGGTGAGAGACAACAGCTTGGTCTTGTCTTCCGGCAGGTGTTTGGCTTCCTGAACCTGGTGCTCTGGGTTGGCAACCTCTGGTTCGTGTTCAAAGAGACAGGCTGGGCCGCCCCGTTCATGCGCGCACCTCCAGGCGCCCCGGAAAAGCAACCAGCACCTGGGGATGCCTACGGCGATGCGGGCTACGGGCAGGGCCCCGGAGGATATGGGCCCCAGGACTCCTACGGGCCTCAGGGTGGCTACCAACCCGACTACGGGCAGCCAGCGGGTGGCGGTGGCGGCGGCTACGGGCCTCAGGGCGACTATGGGCAACAAGGCTATGGCCCGCAGGGAGCGCCCACCTCCTTCTCCAATCAGATGTAATCTGGTGAGTGACGGATGGGAGGATGCGGTAGGGAGGTACAAGAAATGAAGTTTGAAGGAACCAATAGACAGACAGAGCTACAAAAAAATTGAACGCAGAAAAACTAGCCAATGAGTGGCGAACAGGAGAAGGAAGGGGAAGGAGTAGTGCTCAGAGTAACCAATGAATGGAGTGCAGGAGCACTTGCGCAATGGAGAATCACCAAAGTAATGTAGTTTCCAGGTAGGGAAGGGGAGGTGGGTCTTCGGAATGATTGATAAACCAGTAGGAGAGAAAGCCAGTAGAGGGGTCGGGGCACGGTAAGCACGGTGGGCTTTGAGGGTCACCAGCGCAGGAGCAGGATGTAGATCTGCTGCAACCTCTCCTTAACTCTTGTAGCGAAAGAGATGGTGTGCAATTTCAAATGAGGAAAAGGGGAGGGCCAGGGGCATTGGAAACACGCGTGTGCCTTCTTGTTGGGCCGTAAAAGAAATGAATGCCTGGCGTGATGGAGCACATATATGATTCCAGCACTTGAGAGGCTGCGGCACAGGGATTGCGCGTCCTGCTTGGTCTATATAGCCAAATGCTGTCTCAGAGAGTGGAAGGTGGCGTAGATTTGGTAGGGGGTGAGCCGGGAGGGAGAGTCTTCCAAAGCAGCCCACATTTAATTAATCAAAAAGTCTTTGGCCATGTGTGGTGGTCCCAGTGCCTTTAATCCCAGCACTGGAGAGGCAGAGACAAGCCGGGCTCAGTAAGTTCAAGACCAGCCTGGTTTACAAAGCAACTTCCAGGTCACTCAGAGCCACACAGTGAGACCCGAACTCAAAAAAAAAAAGAAGGAAAGAAAGGTCTTTTTCTGTTGGTTCCTAGTTTTCAAAATATCTCCAGCCTTTACATTTTTCAAAATCATCTGAGAGAGAGAGAGAGAAGGAGGGAGGGAGGGAAGAAGGAAGGAAGGAAGTCAGTCTTGTCCTGTTGGTTCCTAGTTTTCAAAATATCTCCAGCCTTTCCATTTTTCAAAATCATCCTCCCTGTTCACAAGTGCCTAGTCTATCCCATTTACAACCTGTTCTGCCCCAGCATCCACGAGGATTCTGCTAGGCCACTGGTCTCCTCCATTCAGAAATCGCTGCCCTGTAGTCCGAAGTCAGTTGTAGCACCTCACTTAAAGGCAAACTCGTTCAGAGTGGTCACAAGGCCCACATATGCAGCGCTATCCCCTCTTCCCCCAAGACACGTGGCCTGGCCTGCTGGCACTGAGCACCTGCTCTTATCACTCTGCTCCAGTCAGTCTGGCCCGTACCAGGTCCAGTTCTACTTCAGGGCTTTTCCACTTGCCTCCCCACCAGAGTTTTACACATACACATCTTTCCCTAGCCATTGCTTTGGCCTCTCACTCAGTGAGGCCTGTTTGTTTGTTTGTTTGTTTGTTTGGGGAGTCGTTTTGTTTTGCAAGTACTAAGAATTGAGCTCAGGCCTCCCTCATGCTAAGCAAGTGCTCTACCACTGAACTACATAACCAGCCTCTTTTTACTTTTTATTTTGAGACGGAGTTTTACTAAGTTGCCCAGGTTTATTTGGAACTGGCTCTGTAGCCCAGGCTGGCTTTGAATTTGCAATCCTCTCACCTCCCATGTGACTGGGGTCACAGGCCTACACCGTCACAGCTGGTGCTGCGTTGTTGATGTTATTTTTGAGGCAAGATCTCCTGTAGCCCGCACTGGCCTGGAGTTCATTGTGTTAGCTCAAGATGACCTTGAATTCCTGATTGGGCCTCCACCTCCCTGTCTTGCTTTTTGTTTGAGCTAGGGTCCCACTAATGTAGTCCAGGCTAGCCTCCAACTTGTTTTCCTCATGCCTCTGCCTCCTAAATTGTGGGGTCATAGGCATATACTAGCAGCTCCACAGCAGTGATTATTTGTCTAAAACAAATCCCCCTTATTATCTCTCTCTCATCCCACCCTGTGTTTTCCCTTATCACAAATTTTAATTACTAACTTACAGTTTATGACTGTACTCCACTAGATTGGAGGTGCAACCAAGACTTATTCATGCTATACACACATCACTTAGAGCACTTTTTAAAAAGATTTTATTTGTATTTAATTATGTACATGTGTGTGAGTATATGCGTGTGAGTTCAAGTGCCCATGGAGACCAGGAGAAGGGTCAGATTCCTTGGAGCTGAATTACTGATGGTTGTGACCACCCAGAGTGGGTGCTGGGAGTCAAATGTGGATCCTCCGGAAGAGCAGCAGGCACTCTTCACTTCTGAGCCGTCTCGACAGCCTCACTTAGAGAATTTTTTGGTTTGGGGTGACAGGGTCTCTATATAGCATTGGCTATCCTGGGAGTTGCTTTGAAGACCAGGCTGGCCTTGAACTCACAGAGATCCACCTGCCTCTGCCTCCTGAGTGCTGAGAGTAAAGGTGTGCACTGCTATGCCTGGCCTATTATCATCTTATATTAGATAATAACTAATATGTCATGTTCATCCTGTGAAGCCTGTCTCCCCTGATATAATGTAAGCCCCATAAAGAGAGGGCTACTTGCCTTGATGTCCAACTGTGACTAGAACGGTACTGGTTAGTGGGCTTTCTTGTCTAGGAGAGGGGACCTTAATTGTTCCTTTGGTACCCAGTTTGAGCAAGGTTGGTAATATCTCCCTAGTGAGAGTAGCTAGGATGAGGCTGACTCCAGAGCTGTTAGAGCAGAGAACATGCCAGGCAGAAGAAAAAGTGTAGTGGCCCCGTCCCTCCCTGGGGATATCCCCCTCATCTGGGAGGGTACCACCCTCATCTGCACCCCTTCTCTGTTCTGTGTCTTTTGTCTCTACAGGTCAGTGAAGCCCACGAAGACCCCATGGGTGGGCAAGAGCTCAAGAGAAGGCCTGCCCCCCTTCCCATCCCACACCCTAGGTCTCCACCCCTCAACCCGGGAGACCCTAACTGTCTTTGCTGTTTATATATATATTATATTATATATAAATATCTATTTATCTGTCTGAACCCTACCCTCACCCACTTCTCCATGCACTAGGGGCCCAGTCCTGAATGGGCTCCTCCCTTACCCTGCCCTTGCATTCCTCAGCCCCTATCTGTTCCCTAGCCCTGTCCCTTGAGGTAAGGGGGCTCTAGAAAGAGGACAGGAAGGGGACCAGACCTTGGCTGCATGGAGAGGGTCAGTGTGGCTTTTCCTTTCCTTCTCTCCCTCTGCTCCTCCTAACTCTGGCCTTGGTTCCTCCAGCACCGCCTGAACAGAAGCTAGAATGGAGTCCAACCCCAAGAGTAGGACAGTGGTTTGGGTGGGGATATGGGAGAAACAGGTGGAGCGGGGAGGAAGTCTGGATAGCGAAGACTAGTCAGCAGAGAGTTGACTTCCAGACATGCTGGACGTGGAACCTAAAAGGGTAGTGATGTCCTACAGGATTCTGGACCGGGCTGGAAGGGACCGAGGCAGTGATTCTGAGAGGGGCGTGGCTGTAACACACGGTGGGCTCTGAGTGGGCCCGCCTGGGTTGGAACCAGCATCTCTGGAAGGGTTGTGTCTTGAAACATGCAGGAGTCGGTGTTTGATTCCAAAGAGCTTGAGAAGGGATAGAAATGGGGTTCAGGAATGATCTAAGCTTGAGATGAGGTCCTGGTCAGGATTCCCGACAGGCATATGAAGAGTATGAGGAGTGTGTGATGGTTTCAGAAGGGGAAGCCCTTCCTGTAATGGGGCAGTAAAGAAAATACGTTTCAAATGAGTGGGGTTTGAGCAGTGGGTGTGGGCGGCCGTAGTTAGGAGCTGTGAGAGCAGTTTTGTTAAAAGTAGGAGGGAGAATACTCCTGGCCCCCTGGGAACTGAGGTAACCTGGGAAGAGCCAAGTATTGTGGTTTGGAGGGTGAGGGGTGGGATCCAGAGAGAAATGTCCCTGGCTCACCCCCTCAAGAGACAGCTAGATTATCAGAGGACAGAGTCTACAGGTCTGCGGGGCTGACCCACCCTCTCCCCCCCCCTCTACCCTCTCCCTCCACCCTTCCATGTGTCCCGGAATACTTGGAGGCTGGGTCTGGAGCCCCCACCCTGTACCCTCTGCTGTGTCTGTGATGGTGGTAGTGCCTGTGATCGTGTGTATTGCCATTTTGTCTGACTGTGGCCCCTCCCTCTTCCCTCCAGACCCCCCTACTTTCCCTTCGGTATTGTTTGAAGACTCCCTCCCCGAGGAAGAACAAATACGAGAAATTCCCTTCTCCCAAATAAACTCCTCAACCACCTAGCCCACCCGGCTCTGATTTCTCAGTGTGTCTTTTTTTGAGGGGTGCGGACGAAGGGAGAGGAAACCAGAGGAAGCTCAGCCCCCAGGAGCATCCTGCTGACGCCTCACCTACAAAGTATTCCCGTCGAGGCTTTCCAGGGCGTGGTCCTGGTGCTGATCCCTTAGCCACCACCCTCCCTGGTCCCAATGAAGTCTTCTCAAATTCTCAAGGCTCTCTACCTAGGGAGACTCCACAAGACCTCGTCCTACCCAAGCCCTTAGGTCCTGTGGTAGCTGTCTCCTTCTGTCTCAGCCTAAGCAGGAGAACCAGAGACCTACCAGGTGGGGAGGCTGATGAACTGATGAACATACTCCTCCCCGGACCCCAGTTCCTCCCTGGACAAGGGTCAGGAAGTGACAGGGTTGTGTGTAATGGGGTTGGGGGGGGGGTGGAAGGGGGAGTTCCTGGGCGCCCAAGATGAAAGGCCTGTCTGACCAATTGCCGCCTCATGCCTAATTAAAGACTCCACTCGGGCGCCTGAGTTCTGAGTTGTGGCTGCCAATACTTGACCCCTTCCTAGCCCCAAGGCCCAGAGATGCCAAGAGCAGGAAAGAGAGACCCAGCTCTGGAAGTGCGCTCAGGGAAGGTGAGATCTACCTGGCTAGAGAAAAATAGGGAGCAGGAAGGAGAGCTGTAAGACCTACTTCTTTGGGCTGGGGTCGGTGAGCACAGTGGCTGGATGTGGATGCCTTGGAAAGACGTGGAACAGGCCTCGGAACCTGGCCAGTGACTTCAGTCTCTTCCACATAAATCTTAGGTCTGGTTCTGAAAATGGAATAGGTCTAGGACCGTCAGAGCACCAGAGCACCAACTAGGACTGGAGATGAGGTTGGAACCATTCTTGTAACATTCATCCTGAAAAAAGACTCTGGGAAGGGACCAAGAGGTGCCTTTGACCCTTGCCCCCCAAAGCTTTCAAGATAAATCGACCTTATTCGTCCAAGCAAGCACTCTAGTATACCATCATGTCTCCACGTCCAACCTTGCTCGCTTCCAGCTTTCAAACTCTAAAGGCCCTGTGGCACCGCAGGGACACTGGAGGTTCAGCCTCCTGACACCTTGCTCTGGCTCTAGCCCTGGGATGAACTCCCAACTCCAGGCTTTCCAGCAAGGCGCTCACTAACCTTTGCATTGGGGCCGCGTGGTGGTGACTTAGACACTCCAGGCCGGGGGGGCGGGCCCTACGAGGCGTGCTCCTCCCACCCGGGAGTCAAGTTTACGGAATAGCGCTGCCAGGCCGGACGCGCCGTGGCCTGGCGGCCCGGAGGACTACATCCGCCTGACCCAGCTGAGCTTGACTCTGTCTAGGCGCGCCATGTTCGCGCGTGGGTCCCGGAGGCGCCGCTCCGGGCGTGCGGTGAGCAGGGCTCAAGGGCAGTGGTGGGGGTCAGGGGTAAACTGAGACCCGGGCGAGGGGGCAAGGCACTCGGACAGAAGGGAGGCGCCCCAAGGAGGGCCTGGAAATTCCCTTCTCCAGCTTTCCCTAGACTTGGGCGCTGGGATCGAAGCACACTCGTGGATGCAGAAACGTGTAGATATGGTGGCTCAACCCCCTAACACATCTCACACTTTTATCCCCGCTGCAATCTGGGGACACCTCCCTTTCCTGTGATTTAATCCTAAAGGTGAAAAGAATAGAGTCTTGGGATATGCGGTTGGGCAGGGACGTCCTGAGTTTGTGAATAAGGAACCGCTTACATTGGAGGACTGTAAAATGAGACTGGGGGTCCTTCACTTGTGAGTACCAAGAGTCAATAAACTAAGATTTAGTATAAGATTTCCAGGCTTCCATCGGAGTTTGGAAGCTTTTGACTTCCTAGATAGGAGGATTTCCTCTCTTTCTTTGAAAGATCTCTAACCAAGAAAGATGGAATCTGGACCAAAGAAGAGAATAGTCCTCAATATGAAGGGTAAAGGCAAAGATTTCTTGGGCTGGGGCCTTCTGAATGGAACAGGGACATCCTGTGGTCCTAAAGATAGATACTCCTCAATTTCTCAGGTAGGAGAGATGGAAGCAGGGTTTGGGGGAGGGGCAGCAGCACTTCTTAGGGAAGGGCATTGCCCAGAGTTCATGAGGGATTTCAGGGAAGGATGGGTTCGCAGACGCCTACCTTGTGGAACTGGATGTTGAAAGGGTCAGAATGAGCCTTGAGAGGGAATGCCCATATTAGGGACCCTTCTCTTAATAGGGAGAGGACTCTCTCTGACGGACCTGTCTGAGAACTAGACAGGGGACAGAGCAGCCCAGACTGGAGAATTCCCTGAAAAAGGAACGTACAGGAAAGTGGTCTCAGCTGCCCTGCCTCTGGTTTGATTGTTTCCTCCTCCCCCGCGCTCCAGGCGCGGTCTCAGCCTGCCCAGCGCTGCCCCCAGTGAGACAGGCCCCAGCCTGCGGTTGCGAGCCTGGGAGTGGAGAAACGGGCGTTGACTTCTCCCTCCCCACTCCCGCACCTTATTTCGTCTTGCATCTGCCCTCACCCACTACAGCCTCCCGAAGCAGAGGACCCTGCTCATGGTCAGCCCTGCAATTCCTGCAGGGAACAGTGCCCAGGCTTCCTGCTGCACGGCTGGAGGTAAGTGACCCTAGCCTTGGTCAGAGCCCCGCCCCAAGGCTTGGGCTCCGCCCACAGAGCAGAGTTGGGAAAGGAGCCTCCAAGTCCTTTCCAGAGCCCCGCCCCTTGACTCATTCCCAAGAGACCTGTTCCCAAGAGAGTTCCATAGCCCTGCCCCCCCCCCCAAAGAGTCTTCTCCCAAGTCTGAGTCCCAGCTCTAAAGGGACCTTCTAGCCCTTACCACAGACTCCCTCAGCCCTCTTCTTGGGCTCCGAACTTTTCTTCTAGACCCAGTATTCTCTCCTACCGGAGCCTTGCACCCAAAGTCTAAGAATCCATAGTCCCACAGACTCACAGTCATGTTCCCACTCCCCCTATACAGAAATTCAGGGCCTCAACACAAGATCTGCCTTCAGGGGTAGTTACCCCACAGAGTACAGACTCTTTCGCCTTGATTTGTGACATCAGTCTCAGTCCCGGAGTCCCGCCCCCGTTGTCCTGAGAATCTGACCCACGTACCAGAGCTGGAAGAGTTAGGTGATGTCCTTCAGCCCCTGAAGCCCCACCCCTTAATATCCTGCATACCAGGATCACACCAACCCCCAGTCCTCTAGGCCCCAGAAGCTGAGCCTGGCACAGTCAGTGTCCCATGGCCTGGTCACAAGCAGAGTCAGACCTTGGCTTAGCCCCAACTCCTGTCAGCCCTGGTCCCAGCACAGAGCTCTATCCCAGCTCGGAGCCCTTTGGTGTTAATCTGCGTGTCCTGCCCTTCTGCCGGACCTGGGCTGCCTAGGGGTCCGGGTGGACAACTCCTTAGTAACTGACTCCTCTCCTGGCTCTCGCAGAAAGATCTGCCAGCACTGCAAATGCCCGCGGGAGGAGCATGCCGTGCACACCGTGCCTGTGGACCTCGAACGCATCATGTGCCGGCTCATCTCAGACTTCCAGCGCCACTCCATTTCTGATGACGACTCAGGCTGTGCCTCAGAGGAGTATGCCTGGGTACCCCCTGGCCTTAAGCCAGAGCAGGTGACCACCCTGCTGGCCACCCACTCTCATTCTCCAGTGGGTGCACACATATGCAAGCACATATGGATTTGAGTGCGAACCTATTTCTGGAGTAATGCTGGAGTGTGGTCCAACTGTCAGTGTCTCTCTGTTCTGAGTGATCACTGGGCCAGTTCCTCTGGGTCTTGTTCACTTTTCATCCCATTTCTTTTTTCTTTTTTTTAAAGTGTGTGTGTGTGTGTGTGTGTGTGTGTGTGTGTGTGTGTGTGTGTGTGTTTATGCACCAGGTGTGTATGGGTGCCTGAAGAGGCCAGAAGATGGTATCAGATCTCTTGGAAGCGGAGTTATAGGAGGTTGTCAGCTGTCATGTGTGTGCTGGGAACTGAATTCCGGTTCTCTGGTGAGCAAGAGAGCACTTTTAATGGCTAAATCATCTCTCCAGCCCCATTTCTAGTCTATCCATACTTTGTTCATCACATCACCATGGATGTATTCGTTCAATTGTTACTGAGCATTTTTTGTATGTCAGCCATGTCTAGGCACCGAGGACAGTAAAGAAACCATAAAACAGGGCTTGGGGATTTAGCTCAGTGGTAGAGCGCTTGCCTAGCAAGCGCAAGGCCCTAGGTTCGGTCCTTAGCTCTGGAAAAAAGAAAGAAAGAAAGAAAGAAAGAAAGAAAGAAAGAAAGAAAGAAAGAAAGAAAGAAAGAA